GGGGGGGGGGTCATCTGGCCTCCCCGAGGAGAGTGGTTTTGAGGAAGAATCTTTTGAGGAAGGGGCAAGAGCATAGTCGAGTGTGCCTCACCAAGATAATTCATTCGCTGGAAGCGAGGCGGTCGGCCTACCTCTACTGCTCATATCGAGTCTGGCAGATATCCAAATGCAGTGTCTCCAGATGAAGTGCAACGTCATGGGGGGAAGGAGCTAGTCGCAGAGTCGACTCCTCAAAGCTCTATTTCATACCAAAAGAGGAGGAAGGGTTCTCTAGTCAACTCGGTTTCCTCTAAGAGTCTGGGGACTAAGCTCTGGAGTTTTTTTTTATGGCTAGTTCACATCCATCGACTAGTCACTGGGCTGGTATATTAGTTTTTTATCTACTGAAGCCTACCAGTTTACTTTTGAGGAGGTTATTTGGTTGCACATTTGTTAAGTCTCTTTAACCTCTTGAGCAGCTCGAGTTGTACAAGAAAGTCATTCGATACCACTTGAAGCTTTCACACCTCCATATGATGGTATTAAACCAGGCTAAAATGAAGGGGGTTGCCATTGTGGAAAGGGTTTATAACTTGATCAAATATGCTAAGAAGTTTAAAAATCAAGTGATGGTGGTCGAGAAAAAGCTATCAGTGATCAAGGAGCAGATTTCTACTCTTTCTGATCTTCGGTTGATCATCGAACAAGAGAATTAGAAGCTAGAAATGATGATGGAGACGATGAAGACCTAGGAGGAGTCCTTGGAGGCACTTTCCTCCCGCCCAAAATAGGAAAAGATTCTAAGTGAGGAACTTCAAATCGACAACATCACATTAATTGATAGATCCATTCAGTCAGGCTTGGTTGACCCGAAGTATGTTGACATAAATAAATTTGTTGCTCTTTACACTAGTTACGAGGGTTCTTGTGGAGATGAATCAAACATCAAATGTGAAGGAGGATCTTCTAGTTAGATCATTAAAGATTTTTGGAAAAGTTGTTGAGAGAGCTTCACGTTGGTAGTGGTGATTGGCTTCCTAAGACTTAGCAATTTATTTTTTCTAGAAGCAACTTTTTGTAATTCTTATGTAAATGAATTATTTTGTATACATAAAATATTTGTATATTACTTTAGTTTGAAATGAATGAAACCATTCAATCATTTTTCATATTGTTTACTATTTTTCCCTTATCATTTATTTGCATTAATTTTTTGGTAATGAGTGTTTGTGTTTGATGGATTACTCAAACCTTGATAAATATCTTTGGTCATTTTTTTATTAGGCATGACTCGACACAAGTCTTATACTGCGTATTTCATTTTGCTTCAGTCAGATTTGTCATCTCAGTTAATCACTCCTTTCCCCAGGAATTAGGTGGATATTGTTATTGTCTTCACAGGTGTAATCACTGAGACTTGCTACCAGGAAGGGAACCTCCTCCAATTCTATATCCACATTGAGCTTTGAGACTAGCTTTTTATGCTTGGCCTTATGGTTTGATTTTGTCGTTAGGGCGTCAATTGGACATCTATAGTGTCATTTTTAGTCACCTCTATTTTTTGATATTATCATATGGCTCGTTTTTTGAATTTTTCAGCTATAAATTACTTGCTCGGATTATCATCTCGATCGATCCTCTCCTTTGCCATGACTTAGGTAGACCTTGTAGCTACCTTCGCATGCGGGTGACCACCAAGACTCACTATTGGAATGATTTGTGCCTTATTATTTGTGAAGCTTATCTATTGGGTAGGAGATCTCTTTAAAAGCTTTATTCAATTCAATTGAAGAACAAGAATTTTTTATGCAGGAGCATTGTGGACTATTCTGCTTACTGAACCTCTTTGGTTTGATTTGTTGTTGATGTGATTTCTTGGATTCTAATTCCAAAGTGCTAATTGGATTGATTAAGACATCAGAAAAAATTTTCATAACAGTGGAAAAGTTTTTTGAAGTACCACTCCCTTTATATGCAGAGTAGTGTGTGAGTCGCTTGGAGTTGACCGAGCAGTGTGCATGTTCAGTTGGTCGACTCATTTCGATCATCAGAAGCCAAATATCCTTTTTGAGGTACTTGCCTCCTAACCAAATCCTCTAGAAAGATGACAGAAACAATGTTCCAAGCTCCAAATTTGTTGCACTGTTTAAGAATATATTTGAGATTGATTTCTCCTCATTGGTGTTGCTTCTCTTCTTGGTTGTAGGAATCCAAATTTGTCATGTGAGGCATGTATAAGGATTAGAGTGTCAGGAATATTGAGGGGGAAGTAGAGTTGGGGAGAAAGAAAAAAAAGAACATACATAAACTTGCCCCCATAGAGGCGAACTAGGGTATTCCCGAGCTCTATGTCCCATTTTATATATTGCAACTTGGGAGTTACAAGTGAAATGGTGAAATAGATCTCCTTAAAAGGTATGATTTTATGGTGAAGAGCCAAAAATCCCTTAATATAACCTATGGAACCCTATTTATAGAAGATAAAGGATCAAAAGAAAAAAATTACACGTTTGCCCCTACATACATAGGAGCGTTATATATAGGAAATTATTGTCATTTATCATGTTTTTTTTTATATTCCGAATTGATTTTGGCATATTTTAATATAGTTGGACCTTATGGTCAGAGGGTTCTCAAGTCAGATGACCAAGTTGGTGTTGTTCCGCTATTTTACTTGGATGTCAGTTGGCCTTTGCTCTGGGGTGTTGGTCGAACTTTGAGAAAGGAAGTCGATTGGCCATAGGGTTTGGCTCACTTGTTCTTTGGTTATTTCTAGAGATCATTAAAGAAAGTTGTTGAGAGAGCTTCACGTTGGTAGTGGTGAGATTGTTTGGCGAACTTGACCTTTGTTTGGTCGTTGGCGTGAATGTGTGTTTATTTTTGTTCAGTCGCCAGTCTTCGGTCGGCTGGCTAATGGTTGACTGGTGCTTATTTAGTTTATAAGCTTTAAGAATATTTGTAGCTTCTCGTCATATTTATTTGTTTTAATATAGACTGTCAAATTATCTTGAAATTTGGGCAGACTATTTTTGGGTGCATAGAAAATTTTGAACCACAATCAATATGGGGGTGTGCATTATTTGATCAAAACCAAAAAGATCGAACTGGACTGAGCTCATTTGGTTGATCCTGTTTGGTTTTAAAATAAAGATTTGATTTTTTTTTGTTTTAGAATTTTAAATATATTCAATTCTTAAATCGGTTTTAATTTCTATTAATCCAAAAAAAACTGAAAACTTGAATAATAATAATATGATTAAAAAATTAAATTTATCTACAAAAAAAAAAAAAAACTGAACATATGAAATTTATTTTATTTTATTTTAATTTTTTTATCTCCTGAAATCTCAAATTAAATTTTAAAATACCTCCATTAAATAAAAAACAAACTTCTCAAGAACACATCCAACAAAACACCACTTGATCAGATAAAACTTATTGTTCCCACAGACTTCAAATTCTCACCAAATATCTTATGCTTCTGCGGCCTATCCTTAACAACATTACTCCCAACCTGCCACACATGATTCACATCACTACTATTCCACACCCCCAAAGTCACATATATTATCATCTCCTCATCCACATAGTCAGCCTGCAGGTTATAAACCGGCAGAGCGAGCTCCCCCGGCGACATGTCCGGCGCATAACTATCGATCGACGTCGGATAAGCAATCAGGCTACCGTTCGAGTGGCGGAAGGCGACGAGGGCCTGCGTGCCTATCATCTTCGACGCAATAGGATTGATGCCCCACGCCACCCAACCATCACTGGCATGCGAAGCGCGAAAGGCGGCACGGAGGGTGCCGGGTTTCGGCGCGTAAGTCCAGTGGAGGGCGGCGTTGAGATAGGGGAGGTCGATGCATGAGTCGAAGGATTCGTCGGTGGAGAAGGTGTAGGAGGAGCAGGAGTCGGTGGCGGCGAAGAGAGAGGGGAGGAAGGAGAGGAGGAGGAAGAGGATGGTTGGGAGGAGAGAGGGATGCATTATTGTTAGGTTGCAGGTGAGGGAAGGAGGTGGAGGGGGACTTTATAGTTTTATTGGGGAAGTGGAAGTTGTTTAGTAGTTTAGAAATATGGGGAATTTGTATATGGTTGCATGCACTAGCTTTGATGAGTTGAGCTAATGTGTTTGTGAGGTGTGGAAGGCTTGAGAGATGTGCAGAGAATGAGTTTAATTATGGGGGCAGGGGAGTGGGAAGGAGATGAGAGAATGGGGAATCTTAGAGGAGAATATAAAAAATGATATAGTAGGGAGTTTAGGTTGAGTTTGTTCATCAATATATATATATATATATATATATCTAGGCGTGGGCAGAGAGAGAGAGAGAGAGAGAGAGAGAGAGAGAGAGAGAGAGAGAGAGAGAGAGAGAGAGAGAGAGAGAGAGAGAGAGAGGAGAAAAGGAATGGTGTAATATGAAAAAATATTACATCATCATTAAGTGGATATGAAGATGAGAAGATAAAATATATAGTAATATAATTATTTTTTTTTTATTTATGGTTATTTTAATGTTTTAATTTTTTTTTTTTTATAAGTGGATGACCCATCTTTCATTATTAGTTAATGAATTAATAGTTATAAAAATAAACTTTTTTTTAATTCTAAAAGTTAAATTATAACTTGTTTAATTAAACAATTAGGATAATTAAAATTTTAACATTTAAGTTGTATAAATTCTTCTGAAACACATCATAAATCTGATTTTTATATTTAATTTAAAACTTCATAATATTTTAATATTACATACTTTATAATGTTGGATATAGAATTTTATAAGAATTTTTTTTTATGTAAATTTCAAATGCATAAATTTTCTTTTAAAACGACAGAATTTAATAACACATTGTAAGAAAACCCAAAGAAAAAACAAAAATGCTCACTTTTTATAACTAAAAGCATCCATACTTTAAAAAACATAGGGCTCGTTTGGGACAGCTTATAAGTGCGGGTGGCATTTTCAAGACGCTGTCTCGCCGTCTGGTTATCTGGAAACACGGTTGGGTTTTTACACTAAACGCAGGTAGCGGGTCGAACCCACCGGGCCACCAGCAGACCGCGTTTCAAGATAAGATGCTTATCTGAATAATCACAAACAGCGTCAAACACACCAATAGTCTAATACATTAAAGTTTTTGAACAAGTGAAATAATTATTTTCGAATCAAAGCCATAATCATAACTTTTAAAACCATATAAAACAGGCAAACACTAATTTGCATATTCACCATTAAATAAAAGAGAAGCAGTACCTCATACATTTCATTTGAGAAACTCAAATGGTCTTACAGCAAAACTTCAGCCTTCATCCTCATGCAGATGGCACCATTAACAATGAAAGAGACAAACAGCCGATTAAAAATAAAAAAAAAAAATATTTGCATATTTTGCCAACATACAGTTATTACTTTGATAAATAATACCATATTCAGTTCATTTCATTTACCAAATCCACCCTAAAACCTGACAACAAAAAATGAAGGAAAAAATGTATATATATATGTTAGTCTCTAACTTTCATCAGGGGGTGCTTTGCTTACGCCAACTTCGGCTGGACGGAGGACACGGTCATGTATCATATAACCCGGCTGCACCATGAAATAACAGAGATGTGGTTAATTAGCAATAGAAAATAAATATTCAATAAGTTTATTATAAATGTGAGAAGATTTACATACATAACACCCAACTTTTATGTATTTGCATATCTGAGAAACTTTAATTTCAGCTTTTAGAAGGTAAAATGACTCGATTTTACGTGATATTAAAGTTTTGGGTGTTACAGATATAAAAAGTAAAATTTAGGCGTTAGATATGCAAATTCATAGGAATTGGTTGGCATGCATGTAAAATAAACTTATGCATGAAAATGTATATTTTACTTATAAAAAGTTAATAGTAATGATATTTTTTATGTGAAATTAAAACTTTGAGTGTTTTTTATATATGCAATTATGAGAGTACTTTAAGTTTTAGATATGTAAATACATCATAATTATGTTGTATTTATGTAAATTTACTTTGCTTTTCAAGTCCTGAACATCTGGGACATGCAATGGGTTTACTCAAACAAGTAAATACACCAAGGATGTCATAGAAATGTCTCAATTGAAACCAATCCAAGCATTGCCAATACATCTAGGCGTCGCAGACGAAAAAACTTGCGAATAAATTCTATTAAGAAGTGCAGAAGTTTTAAAAATGCATACCTTCAAAACAACAACTACTACTCCAAGTGGTTTCGACGCATCAGGTAATTCAAAGACTGCATTATGTTGGTGCGGATCAAAATTTTCATTCAACGGATCATATTTTTGAATCCCAAACTTCCTGAAAACCTGAAAGAAAAACCAGCGGAAGTTCCTTGGGATGAAGTTGTTGTGTAGTAATTTGAAGAAGTGCTAGATTTCCAATATAAAGACAATTATCAAAATGCTTCATTGAAGTATTACAGAAGATGATAGATTATAAAAAGTTCACAAAAGACGGATAAAAGGAAGACATGCCCATTACTGAATTCCAAAATTAGAGAACTTCAAAATATGTTACAGCATAGTTCCTTTCTATGATCAGTATGTTTGTGAAAGCAATGCATTGCCGAAGAGGTGTTCATATGAAACGTATCCCGTAAGTTCCTTAGATATATAAGAAAGAAGAGCATATTTTATTCGTTTAAATTAATATAAAACCGGTTTAAAAAAATAAAAATTTGTGCATGTAAAAATGAAATTTTCTGTTAGAACAGGAGATATGTTGAAATTCAATAGATTAGCTTCGCAAATGGTAAGGATAAATATGCAGCACGCACGCTTTCTAAAGAGCATCAAGACTCATAAGACATCATCATTGGCACGTCAATTTTTTTTTTAATTTTCTAAATGGAAGTTCCAGAAATTCTTATTTTGACAAATCACAAACAAGCATTGGCAACACTGCATAAATTATAGCACTCAAATTATGGGAAATATGATTCATCAAACTTTCATTTAAAAGTAAAATAGCGGTAACTAGACCTATAAATTTACAGCTATTTGTCATTGAATAATTCATAGGACAAAATTATTTGTTCTTAGGGAACATTGTGCACATATGTGATCAGTAAATGTTATTTTCATCTTTTCTTGCAGAGTCGGAAAACATGCTATTTTCCTAGTAAATTAAACTAGCCAAATTATTAAACCAACGGTTGGAAAATTAAGTGAATGACATTCTGCTCTTAAGAATAAAACTCAGATGATATATCTATAATTTGAAAAGTTGGCTCTAGTTTATGTATAAATGATGACCATGTAAATTTCACATTTGTATTACCGTCTCTACGACTCTGTGACAAACAAAAATCTCAATGAAATTACTGGGGAGCATTTTGCCACAATATTGTCTTAGCACATACAATTGGAGGACAGCATAAACATTCAAAAAACATAGCCAAAAGAATGAGCAGTTAACCGAAGTACGAATTGTAGAAAATCTATCACTAAAAAGAAACAAATAATAAAACTTGCATTTCTTCATAGAATTATAGACATAGATTTGAAGTCAAAATTCAGATTGAAACTTTCGCCTCAGATTGGAAAAATATTCAAAAAACTGGCAATTACAGCTTATAGTTTTTGAGCTCTTATTTCAAAATGGTTTAGTGCTTCCAATGTGTGGAAGTACCAACAGAAAATAATGTCCCTTTTAAGGGGCTTTGACATAAACAGCACACAATTCTTATGTAGTACATATCTCACAACCTACATTTTGATATTTACACTCGAGTCTTTAACATCGCATAAAAATAACACTATTACCACTTTTTAAAAGTGACCTACATTTTGATATTTACACTCAAGTCTTCAACATCGCATAAAAATAACACCATTACCACTTTTTAAAAGTGAAATACAACCTTTCATGCATAGGTTTAAAATGCATAGGTCTAAAACACCAAACTGCCATATATGTAAATATGCAAGTTTAGGTGAAAGATATGTAAATACATAAGAATTGTGTGCTATGTATGTAAATTTCCCTTTTAGTTTTAATTGTGTCCTAGTTTTAGGTGTGTCCAATGTATAGCTATTAATCTTATATTCTTTGTATTGTATAATAGGAGAATGACTTCAGAAATAGGAACCGATGTAATTAGTAATAATCTCATAGAGGAGGGTAATAAGCCATTGTATGATATGTATAACCAAATTAGACAAAGCAAGAGAGATTGAGATAGAAAAATTATAGAAATTTAATGATGGTTTTGTTGAGAAAAATATAAAGGGACATTTCTATGATGAGTTCATGCTTGCGCAGACAATACTAGAAGGCATCCAATTCTACCCAAAAAATTGCATCAATACAACTTCAAAAATTACAAAAAATAGATGCAAATGATGAACAAAAACATTTAAGAATTGCTTCTTACCAAAGTGGCTTAATCAAGTGAATCAATATTCTAGCTAACATTCAAATGAAAATTTATTTAAGATAAAAGGCCATAATCCAAAAAAAGCGGAAAATGTTTAGATTAAATATAGCAATTACAAAAGCATGAAATTTGCAAACTAGAGAACACTGGAAGAAAAAATTGTTCCATGTTTTATTCAACCTCCCTTCCATTTCCTATAGCAAAGAATTCATACTATTTTAGCATTTTTACGCAACTTCTATTCCATTTTCTTTAGTATAAATACATATTATTTTAGCTTTTTTTTATTATTTTATGTAGCAAATAGCACTCCCCCTGGATAGATCCTATCAGCTACAATTTTTTTAGAATAGCACTTCTTAACAGGAAAGAGCCAAAATTGAAAAAAAAAGCTTGATCCAATAAAAGAAACTTCAAACAAAAATAAAGTTACTATTGTAGGTGAAAATTGACCAATACACAAATAAAACCTTTAATTAATTTTTGGAGTTATTAAATGGAGATTATAGTTATAAAATTAATTTTATAGTTCAAATCATATCGAATAAGTGATTGATCAATACACAAATAAAACCTCTAATTAGTTTTTTGAGTTATTAAATGGAGATTACGGTTATAAAATTAATTTTATAGTTCAAATCATATCGAATAAGTAATTATGGGAGCTGCTCAAGTAATCACTGCAATGCACGAATGTATGAAACAACACCAATAATAACTAAGACCTAAATCCCCCATATTTTTTTGGACTTTTTAAGTCGTATAGATTGAAGCTAGCATTAAATATTATTTATGCCCCAAAGAATATAAAATTAATGAGATCACTTACAGATCAAAAGCATTGCAAGCGATGCAAATTAGATAATAACTCCATGGTCAATCACTCAAAAAGGCTTTGAATTTTTAATAATTTTGAGAATCTAAAATATTGGTTATACATAATACTCCTTTCGCATTGACAATCATTAAGCTTAGGTGATTCAAAGCTATAAAATAAGAACTTTAAACTATGATAATTAATGAAAAGTGGAGTAAGAATCAACAATATGATATGGAGAAGGCTAAATTTGAGAAATACAAGAGATTGGATGATTTATGGTGTGACAAAATAGACTAGATTATTTTATTTTAAGGGCATTTACATACATAGCACCCAATTCTTTTATATTTACGTATCTCACACCTAAACTTTCATATTTACAGACACAACACTCAAATCAACACTCAAATCTCAGACACAACACTCAAATCTTTAATATCACATAAAAAATAGCCTATTACCACTATTTAAAAGTGAATGCATCAATTTAAACTACCTAAGTCTTATGTGTCTACATATAAAAGTTTAAGTATGAGATGTGTAAATACATAAGAATTGTGTGTTAAGTATGTCCATTTTCCCTTTTTTTTATACAACCAATATATAGCTAATATAAATAAGCCTTGCAACCACATTGGGTATGACATGCAAGATCATATGATTGATTATATGCAAACGATAATGTATTGATATGAAAGAAAGAGAGGTAACAAGTAACCCACGTTGTGTATGACATCCTTGTGAAATGAAGAAATAAAGCTAACACTTGGCTTCTGTGCTCAACCCACTCTCTTAATTTGAGGTAAAATCTAAATTTTTAATTAATCTTAACTTAGCTAAATTTTAAATTAATCTTAACTTAGCCCACTTCACAATAGTTAATCTCACATATTTAAAATTTTTCCCCTTCGGTTTTGTAGGCATGCTTGGCTAAATAAAGCTCAAAATCGTTTTACTTTATATATAGACATAAAGATACAAATGATACAAAAAAGTATTTGAACAAACTTTTCAAGTATTGAAGATAGAGCAATGATTAATTTGGAGTTTCTAACTTCTTTGAACTTGCTAATGTTTTTTATCATGACTTTATAGCATCAACATACCCTACGGATAGAAAAACTTATTGCAAAATAAATTAAAGAACATATTCTTTTCTCAATACAAGAAGAAACAAGGTCACTCCTCAACAAGGTGAAGATTTGGTATTTATGTACATTAACCTTCATCTTGTACCTAGGAGAAGCTTAAACTTGTAAATGGCAAATAACACGCCATAGCAAAAAGTCTTTAAATATCCATAGCACACGGTGCATGGCATGGCACAAGTAGGGTTGTAAATGAACCAATGCACTTGATGAACTCGAATTTGGGTTGATTAATATTCGATCATGTTTGTTCAAAATAGTATATAAATGAATTTGAAAATTTTGTTAAAACTTGAAGGTTAAATGAACCAAATTTGAACATAATCCAACTCACTTGTTAATGTTCATGAACAGGCTAGTTTGTTGTTCAACAAATAACCTATTAAATATTCTATACTTATATAAGATATTATTTAAATAAATTAGATTAACTAAAATTTATTTATTATACATTTAACAGTAATATATTACAATTTAATATCAATATGCATATAAATTTAATGTGACTTTTTCTTATTTTTATTCAAATGAACTAATTTATTAGTACATATTTATGTTATTTCGCTGTAATAAAGCACACTTACAACTTATATATTATTTTATTTACTTGGTATAAACTAGTTAGATGCTAATTTAAAATTTATTCAATTGCTTATTTTTTAAAATTTATAAAATTATTTTTTTAATTATTTTATATAAAAATCAAGTACTCATTTGAGCTTTTTATATGAAAAATCAATTACAAATCTCATTTTTTACTTTATATGAAAATGGAATACTTAGCTTGTTTAAATAATATAAATAAGCCAAGTACAATATGATCATTAAAGGTTCAAGCAAACCAAGTATAACAAATATTTGAAAGTTTAGCTCAAACTTGAAATGAACATGATTAACTTATCATTCAACCAAGCCAAGTCCAATCTTGACTCAGCACGATTACAACCCGAGGCACAACCA